GTCCCTGAGCAGCTCCATTTTGCCACCCAGCTATGCTTCAGATCGCCTGTCAGGAAACAACAGGGACCCTGCTCTGAAACCCAAGCGGTCCCACCGCAAGGCAGATCCTGATGCTGCCCACAGGTACTCAGCTAAGGACCTTCAATAAAAGCCAGCAAAAGCTGGGCATAGTGGCATGTGGCTGTAATCCCAGCTGTTCCTAAGGCTGAGAGAAGAGGATAAGGTTGAGGCCAGCATGGGCCATTTAGTGAGACCTTGTCTCAAAAGAAGGAGCAGAGCATGGTGGCACGCACCAGTAATCCCAGCACGTGGGAGGCTGAGGCAGGAGAATTGTGACTAAAGGCCAGTCTGGACTATATAGCAAGACCCTACCTCAAAAAATTTAAAAAATAAAAAAGGATTGGGGATGTAGCTTAGTGTATTCCCTGGGTTCATTCCCCAGAGCCAGGATAAGGAGCCAAAGTAGCCCCTGGCCTGGATGAGGGTGGAATGGGTAGAAAAGCCTAAGTGGGGCCAGGGATTTAGCTCAGTGGTTCCGCCACCTGCCTTGCAAGCGCAAGGACCCGAGTTCAGTCCCTGGTACCAAAAAAAAAAAAAAGTTGGAAAAGCCTAAGTGGTAGGTTAGGGTAGGATTAGGTTGGTTAGGAGCCTGGAGCTGCTCACCTTTCCAAAATCTTGTCTACTTCCTTTGTAATGGTGGCTTTCCTACCTAATTCCTGGCCAGCTGCCTATATCCCCAGAGTGAAGGAGCTGGGCACTGACATATGGCAATGTGTCCTGGCCTTTCTGTGACCTCTCTGGTACTGGGGATCAAACTTGGGCCCTTGCTCTTGCTCTTGCGCAGCAGGCAGTGAAACCACTGAGCTAAATCCCTGGCCCGGGGGAGGGTAATTTTTAAATAAGAGCAGAAGGACAAGGAAAGGAAGAGCATTCTAGGCAGGAAGAACTTTATGGGCTGAAGCTGTGAAGCAGAAAAAAGCTTAGTGGTTTCAGAGGCTGTTTGGGTTAGTGAGCAGAGAGGAGAGTGTTGAGGGAGAGTTGGAATGCTAAGGTAAATGGCATATTGAGGCGCATATTCTCCCAGTCTTGAGGCTGGGAGAGGGATTCCTCTGTCACCCAGCAGACTTTGTAGGGTCCTGGGCACCAGGCTCAAAGCCAAGCAGACCCCACAGGGTGACTGGGAGATGTTTACAGGATGAGGAGTAGCCACTGACAGTGACCAGGAACCTTCAGTGTCAGTACTTCTGTCCAGAACCACTGAGCTTGCATCCCATCTGAGACCAGGCACAGAGGTGATGAGGTCAGGCCCCTCCTGCTGACCTCTCAGATAACATCTCTTCCCCCCTTTTCCTTGCAGGCCCCGGATCCTGGAGATGGACAAGGAAGAGAACCGGCGCTCAGTGCTGCTGCCCACCCGACGAAGGGGTAGCTTCAGCTCTGAGAACTACTGGCGCAAGTCCTATGAGTCCTCGGAGGACTGCTCAGAGGCAGCAGGAAGCCCTGCCCGAAAGGTGAAGATGCGGAGGCACTGAGGCCTACTCACCACCCTCCTGGGAACTCTGCCTTCTCCTCACATAGCTGCCCCTCCTTTTGTTTTGTTTTGAGGGTTTGTTTGTTTTTGTTTTTGATCCTATATATTTTTTCCCTGATTCATTGCCCATTAAGGCTGAAGAGCAGAATTGCCCTGGAATTGACCTGGGTTCTCATGTTCTTGGCTTTCTTCTTGGAAAGGCTGTTGGTGTTTGTCGGGGGCAGAGGCTCATGCTGGAGTAGCCAGTCAAGGTTTGGGGGGCAGCCATCTTCAAGTGGGGCTGGATTTATTTAAAAGCAAGAAATTGTTTTGGTTAAGAAATTTTCGTTCTTTGCTTTACACATAAATCTTTGCAGTGTTCTAAACAAAGTTCAGTTTCCTGCCTGCCCCTTTTCCTCCACTGATGTCTGCCCTTGGTTGAGGTCTCCTGGAACTAGGCTTTCTCTGGATGGGGCTGTTTCCCCATCTCTCACCTATTCTCCATCCTCTGGAAGGTCATGCAGATACCTTCCTTTTTTCCTGTGGCAGAACTGTCTGGGTTGGCGGGGGGTGGAGGGCTTAAACTGAGTCCCTGGCACCCCAAAGCTAGTGCTGAGCCCTCTGGGGTTCCTCCATACTCTTCTTGGGCTGCCAAAGGCTAGCACAGTGGTCCTGACTTCTCTTGGCAAGAGCACGCCTCTTTGCTGGGTCGCTCCTTTCAAGCACATGTGTGTAATTGTATGGAAGTTAGACTTGCCATGTTGGGTCATTTTAGGAGTTGTTTCTAGCTAGAGGGACCGATGTCCTTCCAAGTCTAGCATTTGCAGTATGGGAAATCATTGTGGTGTATGGTAGGGTTTTTATTTTCTTTTTGAGTTTTTATTTTTTCCTTTGGTCTCTTGGCTTTCTCCTTTTCCTTTCCCCTCCATTGGTCAGGTTGGACCTCTTCCCAATGTCATCCCTCTTAAGAAGGTGTAACCCCTTCTGTTTGCCTGCAGCATGCATCCAAGGCCAGAGCTCAGGCCTGCAGACTGGGTTGGTGCCTTCTCTGCCTCAGGGGCATCGGAGCTGAGGAAGGGGCTTCTAAAAAATAACAAAGAAAAAAAGGTGAGGTCTTGGCAGTTTCTACCTACTCAGATCCTAGAAGGCTGCAAAGTTTTGCTGATCTAGATTCATTAGGAATGTGACCTTGCCAGTCTGGCCAGGGCCTGTCAGAAACAGAGACCCTTCTGGCAGCCAAGCCACCATCAGTCTAGAGGGCTTTGCATAGAGTCCCCAGCCTGAGACCTCAGATGCTGCAGGAATCTGGGGCATCCACCATCAAGAAGCCCTTCTCTGGGGCCAGAACTCCTTTGCCAGCGTGAATTCCTCAATTTGGGACTGCATAACTAAAAGCAGTGGCAGTTTTATTTTTTTTACAGCTTTTTTCCCAAAAATGATTTGTAGTTGTGTGTGCAGCACTTTGCCCTGATATGTGTGCTCTACAATAAAAACCAAATCTAATATATTTTGAAACAGTTGTCTGATATTGTTGTAAGAGAAAACTTGACTTTGGTGCTTCCTTGATCCCTTTATTTTATTAAACCTTAAGCAAGGGTTGGGAAAGCAAAGCTCCTTGTCCACCAGGACTCCGGAGGAGGTAACTGGTCACTGACACTGGGTCTCCTGATGGCTAAAGGTGGACTTGTCCTCTGTCCACTGACCTCTTTCCTCTCCAGGGAGGATAGCCTTTCATTCATAGCGTCCAAGGGCCACAGACTCCCTGGTATAATCACAGAAAGCCTGCAGACCTTCCACTGAGGGAAAGGCACCCTGAACCAAGGCAGGGAGACGCCAGCTTTTGTAAGGATGTACATGTGATCTTAGTAATAAATTTTTCAGCACCCACTATATGCTGGGCAAGCTCAGTAGTGGGTAAAACCCTTCTGGGCTCTCTCTTCTAAATACAATAATATATAGCGTACAGATAAAGGCATAAAGGAGGCATTTTGGGGTGGGCCAAGAGGGCTTTAGTCGCTCCTGATCCCTGACAGACCTGGCTCCCAGGACCTGGTCAAGAGCTTCACCCTAGGGTTGGTTTCCCTCACTACGTTTCATTGCTCAGAGCCAGTCAGCTTGGCCAAATTTCTGCTGTGGAAACCTGGGCAAACTGCTTTACTGCCCACATGTGGTAACAGAGGAGAGTCCAGAGTGGGCAAGTGGCTTGGCAGGACTCAGTGGGAAAACTAGTGCCAGCTCAGGAAGAGAGGATCTAGGACCTCTGGGTGGTCTGTGCCACATGGACCTGCATGGGCAGCACCAAGCTGGGCACGGTGGATCCTGGGTGCCTTGGAGAAGACACATCGGAGGAGAGGGAAGTGACTTGCTGAACATCCAGATTGTTCATGGCAAAGGTGAGTACCCCACCCCATGCCTGAGCCTCTGGTTCTAGGCACATGGGATGGGGGCTCTGCGAAAGGATGAAGATTGGGAGGAACTCTTTTTTTGTAGCTGTGACAAAGTCAGACCTTAGCTCTTCCCAGGCCCTGAGTAAAAAGGCCCTTCACCATGCAGAATTGAGGGACAGAAGGGGCTTTGACTCCAGCAGTTCTTGCCATCTCTCTGACCAGTCTCTGGACTGGAGCAGTAGCCTTGTGGCTTCCATCTCTGTGAGGTGATAATCCCTACCAGGCCTCCCAGAGTCCCATACCTGACTCTTTGAACCTGTCCCCACCACCTCACAGGGCACTGAGTCACATCAGTCTCTGTCCCCAGCCTGTTCTCATATATACCAGGTGATCCAGCAACAGCTGGTACCAGCCCTGCCCATGTAGAATTCCATTTCATTCTGCCAAACCTATTGTCTGGAAGGGGGGAGTCCAAGGCCCAAAGAAGTGAGAGTAGCTGAAGGTCACATTCATTCAGAAAATGAGTGCTGCCAAGCTCAGCACTGGAGACTCAAGACTTGTTGTATAATATCTTATACACCTAAGGGTAGTATACACTGTACTGATAAAACGGGAGTGTTGCACATAAATTATAAAAGAATATACAGGTGTGTTTTTTCGTTAAATTTTTTTTTCCTTCTTTTTGCAGTACTGGGGATTGAACCCAGGGCCTTTGCACCGAACTACATCCCCAGCCTTTTTTGAGACAGCCTCTCACTAAATTGACTAGGCTGGACTTGAACTTGTGATCCTCCTGCCTTACTCTCCCAGACTGTCAGTACTTTTTTTTTTTGGTACCGGGTATCGAACTCGGGTCTTTGCGCTTGTGCAGCAGGTGGTGAAACCACTGAGCTAAATCCCAGGCCCAAGTGTCAGTACTTTTTAGTGTAAATTCCATGTAGCCAGTTGTTCCTCATAGAATGCTTTCCTTGACTTTATTGCTAAATTTTGAAATCTGCCTGTGGCTGTATAAGATGATCAAAAAATGTTTTAATTTTAAAATTTACAGTGAAAGACACTTTGCTATTATTCTCCCTGGTACCAAAAAAAAAAAGCCTTGGGTTCCATCCTCAGCATCATAAAAAAAAGTTTGCAGATGTGATTAAAGATCTCTATAATGGATGATTATTTTGTACCAAATGGGCATCCCTATATCCAATCATAAATATCCTTTTTTAAAAAACAAATATCCTATTAAAAGAGGGGCACAGGGAGATGTAGTACACACCAGGCATGTGACCCAGAGGCAGAGCCTGGACTGTGGCTACAAGTGAAGAAATACAGCCACCAGCGGCTGTCAGAGGCAAGGAGGGACAATTTTCCGCTAGAACCTCCAGAGGTTCACTTCAGTCCAGTAATAAATGATTTTGGATTTCTGACTCCAGAACTGTGAGAATAAATTCCTGTTGTTTTAAGCCACCAAATTTGTGTTAAAGTTGTTTTGGCAGCCACAGGAAACTGATACAATGTGAGCCAAAATAAACCTCTCCTCCAAAGAGAAAGGAAAGGAAAGAAAAAACAAGAAAGGAAAAGAGAAAACGGGCACAGCAGGTAAGATGCAGCACTTGACAAGGTGTGATTAAAAAAAAAAAAATGAATGTAGATTCTTTTTTTTTTTTGGTACCAGGGATCTAACTCAGGACCTTGCGCTTGCGAGGCAGGCAGTGGCGCCACTGAGCTAAATCCCTGGCCCATCTTTCTTTTTTTGTTTTTGGTACTGGGGATTGAACTTGGGTCCTTGGCTTGCGAGGCAGGCGGCACAACCACTGAGCTAAATCCCCGGCCCTGGCCCATCTTTCATGTTTTTAGTTGTACTGCAATGACTGCCTTGATGTCCTCATTTGATTCAAAACATTTACCTTTCATGATCATTGTACTTTGTGGAAGAGCCAGAAGTTGCAAGATACCAGATATGGTGAATAAGGCAGATGAAGACACACGTTCATGTTGTATAGCCATGCCTTTCTATTGTATAGCATTCCACAGTTAGATTTTTGGTATTTCTGATCACATCTCAAGAGACATGAAAGGATATCTAGAACTGCTTTGGAAAGCAGCAAGAATGTGGGATTAAGTGTGCTCAAACAAGGGGGAATATTTTGAGGGAGAATAATAGCAAAGTGTCTTTCACTGTAAATTTTAAAATTAAAACATTTTTTGATCATCTTATACAGCCACAGGCAGATATCAAAATTTAGCAATAAAGTCAAGGAAAGCAGAGGCAGGCGCTGGAACCACTGAGCTCCCAAGGCCTTTTGTATGCTAAGGAAGTGCTCTACACTGAGCTACACCCCAACGCCTGACCCTTTTTCTTTGAGGTAACATTTACAGGTTCCAAGGATAAGAACCTGATAGCTTTGGAGAGTTTACCCCACTGATCTTTTCCCCATAAATTGTCATTAAGTCTGATACATGATCTGCTGATTCCTCAAAGGAATTAGGCTGATTGGATTGAAACTTTTCAACATTAGCACTACTTTTAAATTTAATCTGAAATGTTAATGTTTTCTTCATTGCTCTTTTAGACCTGTGCTGTCCAGTGCAGTAGCCACTGGTTTGGTTTTGTTTTGTTTTGTTTTACTATTGCACACTTGAAATATGGCTAGTTTGAACTGAGATGTGCTTTAAATGTAAAATACACAGATGAATTTGAAGTTAGTACGGAAAACAATGTTAACTATTGATTACATGTTTAAATCATGACAATTTTGGTTTAAATAAAAGATGTTATTTTAAATAAATTTCACTTGTTTTGTTTTTTGTTTTGTTTTCTGTTTTGAATTTAGCTACTGAAGATTTTTAAATTTTTATTTTTTATTTTTATTTTATTTTTTATTTTTTTGGTACCAGGCATCGAACTCGGGACCTTGCGCTTGCGAGACAGGCACCGGAACCACTGAACTAAATCTCCAGCCCAAATTTTTATTATTTTTTTTATGCTGGATGTTGAACCCAGGGCTTCACATATGCTAAGTGCAGCACTCTACCACTGAACTACAAACCTAGGCTCAGGAATTTTAAATTACATACGTGGCTTGAAATTATATTTCTACTGAGTGGCACTGGGCTAGGAAATCAACAATGAATCGAGCCTGACTTGTGGTGGTTGCCAGTTTCCATCATGTAAGTACTGTTGAGTTGGCTGATTTCAACATAAGGACAGTGAACGTGAAGTTGTGAAAGATGTGCAGTAGCACACATATAATGTTTGTACCATGCATGAACAGTAAGTGTAAAGAGCATAGATATTCCTAACTCTGCTGACCATGAATAAAAGACCAAAACATTAAAACAAATAGAGCACGGGGCCAGGGATTTAGCTCAGTGGTTTCACCACCTGCTGCGCAAGCGCAAGGACCTGAGTTCGATCCCCGGTACCTAAAAAAAACAGCATAGGGCTGGGGTGTAGCTCAGTAGTAGAGCACCTGCCTAGCATGCACAAAGCCCTGGGCTTCATCCTCAGCACTGTACAAACAAAAACAGATTTTTAAAAACTAGATCATACATTATTTGTAGGAAATGCTTGCTTTTGAATATTAGCACCTAAGTTTTTAATATAATTTAAATTTCATGTCATCTAGTTTAACCTTCCCCCCCCCATTTCTGGGGCTCTTTCCTTCCTTTTACTAATGAGCTATACCTCCAGTCCTCCTAATTTTTAATAATGACGGTTTAACTGACTTTGCAAAAATTCTTGAAAATTTGCCTGTTGAATCTTGGAACAGTGGCTGCAACATACCGTTGGGTTCTCACAGGAGCCTTTTGGAGAAAGGGTGTGATCAGACTTAGGGTTCCTTGGGATACTGTGTTGAATGCAGTGAAAATAAGAAATAGCTATGCCCAGTAGTGCATGCCTATAGTCCCAGCACTCCGGGAGGCTGAGGCCAGAGGATCACAAGTTCGAGGTCAGCCTGGGCAATTTAGCAATTGGCAAGATCCTGTCTCAAAAAATAAAAAGAGCCGGGTATGGTGGCCCATATCTGTAAATCCCAGCACTTGGGATGAGGCAGGAGGATCAACATGAGTTCAAGGCCAACTTCACTGCATAGTGAGACCCTCTCTCAAAACAAAAAAAAATTTGGGGGTGGG